AATTTCTATCACCGAATATATTTCATAGAACTCGCTCAAACCATGACTCTGCGAATTAAATGTTCTATGAAAAAAGGTCTCGCTCTTTTTTAGTTAAGGTCCCTAAGGGCGTATATGTGTACAAATATTTTATGCTTGTGTAAAAATTTGGGAAATTTTCTGAAGTATTCCGAATTCCAGATGAGAGATTTGTACACAACGCAAATACTAAGTTAAACTAAAATAGCATACGACCAGTATAATAAAAAAATCCTCACTACGACTATGGAGATATATTAGGGGTATTGCGGGGACCACATCGCCGTACTCATGAAACAAATTTCTTTGAAATCATTTGAGAGGTTTCAGAAATCGGTGAAAAATTTTCGTTTAAAAATAAAATACATCTCGGAAATTATGCCATTTATGGGGACAGAAGGTCTACCTTGATAAAGTTTTATAAAAAAAGATTACTTTTGTGTTAAAAATTCTCAACCACAGCGCCAATTATCGGATCATTTACACGCCCAAAAAAATTCATTTAAATCGGTTGGGTGGTTTCATAGATTGTAAAATACTAAACTTATTTCGTTGAAGTTATTATATCATAAAGTAATGTGATGAAATAATGCATTTATTTTTTACAGTATTTATAGTTTGAAAGTTATAAAAAAGAAAAATATGAATGACGTGATGCACGAGTTTCGCTCGCCGCTACTGCATATACCTTACTACTAGGGGTATCGTATTGTATTGTATTGTATTGTAAAGTGTTACCAAAGGCAACTTGAATCGGAAAATGGTAAGATGATGGGTCATATATGTGTGTCCCTTGGTATTAGGCAGTTTGGTGAGAAGGGAGAGAACATAAAATGGAGCACTTATGACTTCTACGTACATATGTATGTACATATATTCATCCAAGATAACCAGATTCGTTGAATCAGCAATGACCTGTGATAGAGCAGAGAGAGAGTCAATTTCAAAATATTTTTAAAAATCTTTGTCTTTCTTTTAAAAATATAAAACAATGTTTATTAGTTTACCAATAAAATAAAAAACCATTGGGTTTTTGTCGTTTTATTTATTTCTTTACATTTACAATTCTTACAGTTTACTTCTAACTAATTATAAGTTTTATTTAAAGAAAACGAATTGTATTAAAATTTTTGTAAAAAAAAAAACCTTCGAAAGTCTTGAAGGATTTGTTTATGTGAAAAAATATAAGCGTGCATATATTGAGATTTTACAGAGCAGCGTTAACCCCATTAAATATTTGGTTGAAGTAAATGTATTTAACCTCAAGAAAAAATTGTATGTTCGTCAGCTAATCAGAAAGAATAAGAAGAACTTTAAAACTAATTTCGAAGATATTTTTAAACTAAATAATTCAAATATTAATTGTAGCGTAGATTATGTGCTTAAAATCGTTTGAATTAAAATACAAAACTGTAGTTTGAGATTTATAAATAATGCTTATATCGAGCCCTAACCACCAAAACAACGTAAGCGAAATTTTTTTGGCGGTTAGCGCTCGATATGTAAATTCAATTAACTATACGTTATCAATTATTACATTTTTTGTAATTTTTAAATTTTGAAATACTTTTTATCACACACAACTCTAAGCTAAAAGTAGTTCTAATATTTTTTCTTTTTATATGAAATCTAACACCGTAACAGATAAATTCGATTGGCTCATTACAGAGTAATAATTTTATTTTATTTGCTTGTATACTAAGTAATTTGAAAAAATTATTATTAACTTTTTTATTTATTTTGCTTAAATTTTTGGTATTTTTCCAAGTTCTTATAAACGAGAAGATTCTATGCATAAGGAGCTACGGAGATTTTTCGTTATTACTTTAAACTAGTTTTTCATTGTTTTTATTTTATTTTCTTAAAATTAATAAGCAAACATATAACGAATTACAAAAAAGATTTAATTTTTTTCTATACCTGTATATCTAATACATATATGTATAAAGTTTTCTCATATGCCATGCTCAAACAACACATCAGCTTCAAAAGACTTGGGCCAAGATGCAGAAATAGTGACGACACTCCGAAAAAAAGCTGAAATGTATAAACAAGCTTTAAAAGCTGGCCGAAACTTTTAAGCTATAAAATTATTACAATCCTCTCTCAGATTTGTATGAGTAGCAGTCAGATGTGGCGAAGGAAAAAAGTGAGAGCTAGCTAGTGGAAAGCTCCTGACCTGGCTTGAATAGCAAAATTCAAAAGAAAACTTTGTTAGCTAATATATTTATGTTAGCTAAGTCTTTCACACGAAGTAATTTATTTGCTTAAATTTCTTGTTTAATGATACGCGCCTAAAGAGGCTTAATTAAAGTGAGTGGTGGAGCATCTCAATTAAAAAAGTTCGTATTATACCAAGCTTAAAGATGGCTAGCTTTATAGAGAGCTTATAAAGTTTTCAATTTAGTTTTGTTCTCCGAAAAAGAAAACCCTACTACTGAGAATCTTAACTTTTACCCTGTTTTAATATCAGAAAAGCTTAATCGTCAATGGAAATTTTCAATGCCAATTTCTAGACCTAATTCGGTTTTACTGATTTAGCCTTTCGAAATATGAAAAAACGAACACTACCTCAGAGCATACAAAATTTACCAAACCTTTTTTAAATAAGATACAAAACAATGGAAAATGGAGATTTTTGGAGACCGAAGCTTTTTAGCAATTTTTGTGTGAAACAATTTTCAAGCCTTACTGGTACAAAAGAAGATTACAAAATCCAGAAAATTTTTAAGATAGTTTTGAAAGGTGGTTTTAAATACCTTAAAGCTCAAAAGTGGGCAAATGAAGGTTATGAGTTATACTAATATATACTTTATATGTACATTACATAAATTTTAGAAAGCCGGAAAATGTTTGAAATTTTTAAAAAATCCGAAAGCTAATAAAGACTAAAATTTTATATGGTTTAAAAGATATATATTTAGGTAAATAAAAGCTCAAAAACTTTAAAAATCCCACTTAAGGCCTATTCTAATATCTAACACGATTTTCATATTTGCTTGAAACTTTAGTACTGCTCTGTCCAGAGAGAGAGAGCTTAGAAGCAGTCAAAGAGAGCTTTTGTTTTCCACGAGTCCTAATAAAATCTATAAAATTATTTAAAAATATCCTCTTGAGGTAGAGAATGTTCTGAAACAAGAAATGAGTTTAAAAAACATACGCGAACTTGATTATCTTAAAGATTTCATTTCTCAAATGTAAAGGTCAAAAATGTTTTATAAATCGTTTTGGAACAAAAAAAAAAAAAATGAAAAATTATGAAGACCAAAATTTATCTGGGGTCGGATTTTATTGGCTTTATCTGGACGTCACTGTACTATATACGTACGTACATAGACATGTGATGATAAAAAACGTACCTAAAAGTTCAAAACATGGAAATATGACGATTTTAGAAACTACGCTTACAAGTTTTCACTAGGCTAGAAAAATACTTTACTATCCTAGAGAATTTTAAAAGCTTCTCAACTGGTCGTTACTGTTCCAAAAAAAAGGAACAAGATTTTAGTTTCCAGAACAAGCGTAAGAAACATACACACATTTCATTACCAGCGGAACTTTGAAAGCTCATAAAGCTTTCTAGAACTTTTGTGTACGAAGTAAATAGATAAAGAATTATGGTTCAAACTTACTACGTAGTTAGAGCGCAGAATAGCCCTCGGGTAAAACCCGTTAAAGCAAATTATAGATTCTGTATTATTCCGAACAGAGAAAAAGCTCTTTCAGGTCTTCACTACACTATATATGTATGTTGACTAGTGAAGCCGTACACGAACTTCCATAGGGTATTAGCTTTCTGCTCATCATTAGAATACATATGTAGTATGTATATGCGCACAGCGTTAAAACTTTCTACGGTCATGACGATACGAGAAGGATGATAATAGACTGAGCTTTTGGGAAAAACTTCCTTCGTACTGGTCTATGTGAAATTTAATACATTTATACTATTTATACAACGTTTATACAACGTTTCCCTAATTCATCTAATTCTTAACCGACTTCACAAAAAAGAGAAGGTTGTCAATTCGTCAGTTTTTTTTAAGTATGTTACCTCATAACTTTGGACTGCGTTAACCGATTTATATAATTCTTTTTTTTTTTACGGAAAGGTGTTAGCTCACAGGTTGTTTAAATCAGGTTATTGTATATGGGAATTGAAATCGGTTTGGTTTTTTGCTTAAAAATTACTAGATAGCTATTGAAAATGCCAAAGGCCGTCTTTTCCTTTGTAATATGCTTTAGTAATTTTTATTTTAAGTCAAAATCTGGTTTATTTTGTAAGATAATGAGATTGCTTTGAAATTTTTTCTACCAAAGAATTCTAATCTTATCATTTCTGTAATATTTTTTTAAGTACGTCACGCAATGTCGCAGTAAAAAATTGCAATTCCTAAATCCCATTTATTTTTTTTTTGCAAAAAGAGTTTCAGTTCCTAATATTTCTAGTCCAGTTTCTCCTTTCAGTCTTCCAAAAGCTGTAAAACCAAACAATTTTCTGCTATTTTTTAAAAGTGTTGGATGAAACTTTCATCACTATTATTAAGTATGTGTGAACATTTGGTAACTACTATCGATAGTGTGTGTTCTCCCTATACACACCCTAATGATCTCATTTTACTCCTACACAGTGTAGAATTTTTTTTTTACTTTTTTCAGATTCACTCAGTAAAAAATTCAATTACAAGACTTTACAATTTTCTTGTTTTTATGGCCTTTTCGCAATGCCTTGTTTTCAGTTATCGTTTTCACTCTACCAATAGCTAAAAATCCTTTATTTCCAATACTTTGTTGTAAGATTTTCTAAGCTTCTTTGACCTCCAAACATACCTCAATTATTCTTTACTAGCCCGGCCCTGGAACTAACGCGACCATACTGTTCTCACATCCAAACTCTCTTGCTGTCCCTACGTTTTCCTTGACACATGTATCTCATATCAATTTCTCGCTGCCAAACGGTCTTGCTGACACTCATCTCCTTGCCACATAGACGATCGTCTCTACTGGCGTGCGACCACCCATAGCCAAGTCTTATAAATCTGTGTGCAATACTGGCATTTTACTATTAATCTCAACAACATCTGGTTGCGCAGACCGCTCATCAGCTGTCATCTGTCCCAACTTAACTCCTGCGGATGATATGTCAGGCAACAAAAGCACTGTGGCATTTGTGCCCGTCACAACGCTGCCAACCGAGTTGTGTGTGATGACGGGAGCATGCACCGCCGACAAAAAGCTTGACTGTGGATCCGTGCTAGCAATAAACTGGTTCGCAGACACGCTAGTGCCAGTTGTCGTTGTAGTACCGGTAGTTGTTGTCGTCGCCGCTGCAGCATTATTCTTCGCATTGGTTGCATTATGATTGCGCGTCGCAAGCGCCTTCTGCTTTTGTTTTGCCTTCTTTGGCGAGAACAACCGATCCGATTGACGATTTTTGCCAAATTTGGGGAAGAAACTATTTTCCAGTTGTAGTTGCGCATTGACGTCCTTGCGGGCGGCGCATGTGCATGCCTTCAGGAAGCTCTTCTTGAAATTGTCACTCAAAAAGGCGTAGAGTATGGGATTCATTGCGGAATTCGAGTAGCCTAGACAGCCGGCCAGCAGGAAGATAGTGATCTCAAGTCTCGATGCGCATTTGCTTGGCGACGAATTGATGAGCGCCACCTGTGATATCCAATAGGGTAGCCAACACAGTATGTATACTGTAATCACTGTTAGCACCAGTTTGGTCACCTTGCGGTGAGAGCGCTTCTTCTCTTTGGACTTTTGCTTTGGACCCACTGTATGCAATTTGCGTATGACCAGAAAATAGAAGATTAGAATGAAGGTAAGCGGTGTGGCAAAGCCCAATGTCAGTGTGTACAGTATAAATGTGGTACCCGATTGTGTATTTTGTGCTTCGGGCCACTTGATGTTGCACGACACGTGATCCTCATTCAATTGCACTGTGTTGGCGAATAGTATCACGGGCAACATAAGTAGCACCGACGTCAGCCAAGCAAAACCCGAGACCAGCTCCGATACGAATGGTGTGCGATAGCGTGGCGATGAAATTGGATGACAGACGGCTATATAGCGATCCGCTGACATGATCAACAAGAAGATCGACGATGTGAATTGCGTAATCGATGTGCTCACCATGTAAGCTTTGCAAACGTAATCGCCGAACTGCCAGCTGCCAACTTGCATGGTATACAATAAAATTGGTATGCCAATGAGGAAGCACTCATCAGCTATAGCCAGATTGAGTATGTAAATGTTGGTGACTGTTTGCATTTTCGAAAAACGCAAAACTACATAGATAACGAGCGTATTACCGAAAAGTCCAATGATGCAAACGAAAGCATAAAGTATCATTGTAATAAGATTGGCAATGGCATTTTGTCCATTGTGACATACCAACTCATCTTCGTAGGTCTCGTTGAAGGTCATATTGAAGATAGCGCCATTTACGCGACTAAAGAACTCACTGGGCTCCAATTGAAAGAGATTCAAATTAGGCAGCAGCTGTTCTTGAATATTTGCTAATGCGCGTGCGCGTGCCATAGCCAAACTGGAGCTGATGTGTTCACGTCCACCAGGCGGTTCACCAACGTCGCTGTTGCCGCTTTGTGTGTGTTGTGGCATTAAGCTCGCCAGTAGGCTGATGTAGAATAAATTCGATATGTTGGACTCCATTTGGCTGGACTGATGGCGTCAGTGTTTATAGCTGTGTTTTGAATTCTGCCAAGTTCTTTTAACGTGTGTATACATACAATACTTCGATCTTTGGCGATGATCAAAATTTTATAATATCGAAATCAATATTCCCATGAAATCTGCAAAGAAAATATTCATTAATTTTAATTGCATTAATTAATTAAAAATTTAATAGGAAATGGTTAATGTTTACTAAAAATAAAATTCAGGAACGCCACTCTGTTCAATCTCATCATTACACGTAAACATACAGTGATTTTACTTTTTAGCTAAATCAACAATTTGTACTAAACTTAAAAGCTTTTAATAGAGCGAAGTTAAGTAAGCACGTGGAAGACTGGGAGGCATACAGTCGTTGGAACCTCAATTCTTTCAAGGAGGAGATTAGGAGGTAAACAAGGCGGTAAGTCCTCGAACCAAACGCAGAAACTATTCGTACATTTGTACAGATTTGGTTATTTTCACCGTCACAGAGTGGTGTTGTTTGGAAAGCTTTTACTGAGCTGCTCTCATTCTCGATACAAATTTCTAGACAACACCACCCTGTGACTGCCAAATGTACAAATGTACAAATCATGTGATCCCTGCTTAAGGGATTGAACTTATGCCCTTTTAAGGGGCCTACTCCACCCAGTTTATTGGAAAAACCAGGAGACATGACACATGCCATATGTAGATGACGACTTTCTAGATGTGGCAATGTAGAAGTGACAGCTAATCTCGTAAGCGGAATCATAAAAATCGTCATAGAAATTAGGGTGGCATGAGCTATTAAATACACTGAACGTAATGCCGAGCGTAGTTTAAGTCGATGTTGCAGGCCAAACCGCCGCGGCGCGAACAGCTATTAGACCCAGGGAAACCGATTGGTTAACTGCTCTAAGTATTGGACACTCCGGAGATTTAGGGAGCTTCGATTTCAGCCCTGATCGCACAGATTATGTCACCATCGTAATGGCTCCTATAATCTTCTTCTGTGCCCACTTTTCCTCACGAGAGGTGCGTGGCGGGAGGATCTTCTGGAGGGGGAGTGCGGTGAACTTCGGTACGGATGGATCCAAATTGGACGGCACAGTTGGTAGTGGGCGGCATTCAGGGCCTTAAGTGAGTTGGAGGTGCGCTCTAACTTAGTTAAGGAATGTCTGCTCTCGCTCGCGGTCGCGTCGGAATAATTCGGGATTACATCGAGCGCTGGGTGAAAACCAGGACTTGCGCGATTGCAAGGTCCTTCTGGCCGAGGGTGGAAAGGGGTGTTCGAGGGCACCCCTCACACTTACAATGACACAGCTCTCACTCTTGGTGGGGGTTTCAATGGGTCACTGTCCAATCGATATTCACGTAGTAATACTAAACATAATATTATGTTCTACCGGATCCCGTATGTTGCAGTTGCCTGGAAGATGACGAGGTGAAGTCCCCTCAACCCTACCTTCTTAGGTGCGCAGCGTTTGCGAGGTTAAGGTTGAAGTACTTTGGCTCTCACATTCTTAATAGCGCCGAAGAGCTCTGGGTCATGAAGATTAACCGAATTCATAATTACATATTCGGATCGAGGCATGGTATTACAAAGCACAATCCCCTAATTGTCTACATGAGCCCCTGATTTCCGTGTTGGCGCGTAACCTAACATAACCAATTAAATCCTTCCAAGCCTTTAAATCTACGCCTAGAACGGAATGATACCTGGTTTTCTTCAGGGAAGCAATGCCAAAATAACACCCAAGCTATCGACAATTTACAGCGCCAATCTTCTTCCGTACTGTGTTTCCATGGGAATTATAAAATCGATTATATTTTAAGACTTGCTTAAGCAGAACTTTTAAGCTTACACTCTTCTACATGCATCGAAAGTGATAAATGTTGTTGCGTACCCAGACCTGCATCTCGACAGTCAGCGAAGCTCTTCAATCTGCACTTAATAAGCTGCCAAGGTGAGTAGGAGGGAATGAGATGGAGGTTAATCCTTAAAAAGCTGAACTAAATAGACTAGTCTAATTTTGAACTTCAGCTCGGAATGTTGCTTATCTTAAACTGTCAAAAGAAGCTTAGTTTTTGGACTTTACTAGCTATTCTGAACTTTTCTTTAAAACGACAAGCATACAGTAAGAAAGGACTGGAGGTAATGAGCGCAGATGAAAGACACATAGTGGTAGTAAGACCTATTATCGCCTATAGCTCGCTATCTTATTGTTGAATATATTTGTTATAAAGCCATAAAATAACAAAAACAAATAACTTAAGGACGGGCACGCCTAAAAGTTAAACATTCTAATAATAGAAATCTTAGCAAAAACCAGCAAAACCATCAACCACATGATCAAGTGAATAGCAGCGGTATAGCTGCGCTTGATTGTAGTTGGCTTAACAAGTGAAATAGTGGAGATAAGCGACAAGAATTAACAGGGCGAACTTAGCACAGTGCGTAGGCAACTGGCTGAGTCAGTGGGATCGTCGGTTCGAATCCTACTGAAAGAAGCAATCACTTCTATAATTTTTTCAAATTATTGTTGCTTTTCCACAATAAGTTTTCATTAAAAAACGGCCTCAAGCTCAATAAAAATTTTTGAATTAAAGTTTTACACTCAAACTCACACACACATTCTTATTTTCAATCTCAAACAACAACAACTTTGAACAATTCCTTTTTTTACTCTCAATTTTATATGATTTTAAAATGTTGGCAAACTTAAAAAAAAAAATAATCATGGCCGACGAACTGAGAGAACGGTTTTACCTTACTATGTTTTTATCATGATTAAAACCATCAGTTTTGAAGCACAATTCTGTTCTGCATTCTTTTCCTCTCACTCGCACTAAAACCTAAAAGCACTCAATTTGTGAACTTGTGAAACACTTGTCTTTGCGCTCCATTATATCGGATTACTGCCATCAATTAAAGCTCACTCACACCACTAACAATTTTTTGCACACTTTGATTGAACCCACGGCATGCTGTTCAACACGATATTTACTTATACCTTAAGTGAATGCTTTTAACTTAGCTTTCAATCAAAGGTGTTTACATAGTCAATGAGAGTAGAGTAAACAAAAGTGTCACAAGCAGGCTTAGGCACGCGCAAAAAAAAATTTTCTTTTGTTTCTTTTTGATGGTTAAAATCCTATGTACAGAAACAACGGGCTAGCATAAGTCGTATGCAGAGGATTGATAAAAAGTTTCAGGCATATAAGTAGAATACTTGTTTACTAAAATTTAGTTTGACATAGGGACTAAAAGTACATAAGTAAACAAATGCATGCAAAAATGAGAAAAATTTCGAGGATAACGATACCGGATTATGAAATTGTGTATTTAGGATGTGTTTTAATACCACAAAAGAGCAAATCAAAAGCAGTTACATACCGTCAAAAGCGTCCTCAGATGTAGGTTTGCTTTGTTCAAACTTTTCTTTTTGCTGCCAACAGATTAGTCTGTACCAGCATTGATAACACACACCATGGTCTGAAATTACAATAAAGCAAATATTGATGAAATTAATGAGCTGTTTATAATCTTTTCAAAAAAAGCACAAAATTTATAAATTTGTATTCCCTAATTCTAAGAGAAAAAAACTTAAAGCAAACCTTTTTATGGTCTTACATAGTTCATGTGTATGTAGGTATAGTTATATTCTTGAATACACAGTATTGGTAGTCTGCTACACTCAATGATAATTTATCTATTTTTATACATTGTTTGCTGAAAAAAATACAGCTCAACTTTATGCAATAATAAGCAGCTTACGATTTTGATAAAAGTTCAAAGAATTTTTCTATCCGTGCCAGCCACAATTTGCAACGCACGCAGAGCAACAGGCCAAAGCAACAATACAAATTTAGCATACAATTCAACAGTATATAAAGGCAAGTATGTTTTCAAGTCTATAAAATAAGTTCTGCTAAAACATTTCCATAAAGAACTAAAAATAAAACGAAGAATCTTTAGAAATCCCAAAGGACGAGGCTGTAAAAGTGGTCAGCCACTGCAAGGAGACATATTAGGGCTTACTTGTTAGCAAGTTGTCTGGTGAATGCGGCCTATTTGCACAGAAAGCAGTCAAATGAGAATACGAGATTTTTTATTATATTTTACAAAGTGCGGGATGTTCGCAGGCACATGGTTGTGCCTAAGTCTCCTCCGCTCAGCACGAGGTGACCTTTCCACAGCTTCACGTTCGATTCTGGACAGATAGGTGTGGTATTGCTGCAAGTTTTGGGACTATTCCCCATGCCAATTGCTTGTTTAAGAGATAAATCCCTTAAAATGAGCTTTCAGGAAGCGAGTGGCATACCCAAACCCTTCCAGGATTGCAAAAGTGGAGCGGATGTGTCCTCTTTTGCAAGTTCATCTACCTTCCAATGGGGTTCTTGAACTGCATGTGACCGAGTCAAGTGCTTTAAGCGCCGCCTGACTGTTTGAGTAGAAGATATTTTTAGGTATTACTTCTCAGCTTGAAATACGCGGCAATAGTCGGGTAGGCGAGCCCCAATCGGCCTGACTAGATCGCCATCCTGATTTGTCATCTATTTTAGAACCATCCGTGTACAAGTGGAGTGAACTTTTTTCCTCATGGAGCTCCTCCTGACCAAATTGTTTTTGTCTGAAATGGAAAATTGTATACCTCTTTGTGAAGTTAAGTCTTGGAGTTATGCGTAGTGCCCCGCAGATACAGAGGAGCGAAATCCTTTACCCTTTTGAAGTGTTTCAGTTGTAGGTTATTCCTAAATAATTGCTCTTTCTCTTTAATCACAAATTAAACTCTGACTTCTTCTTACAATAGCAGAAGACTTCTGCTAAATTAGATCTTATCTGGAAGTACATGAAGTGATAAATAGAGCTTGAAAGCCAAACACAGAAGTTCAAGGCAGCTATGAAAGTAATAAATGACACTTGCGAGCCGAGAAATAATAAACTCAAATCACTTGAATTAACATTCTCTTATAGACACTTATATGTAGTACTATAAGGTTTTTTTTTGTTG